GTCCGTCCGCGGTCGAGGGTGCTTCCCGAGGCGTGTGACGCGGCTCCAGGGGCCTCTTTGTCCAGTCGTCAGCGCCCGAGGAGTGGAGGAGGAGGGGGGAAGGAGAGGGGAGGAAGGGGAGGAGAAGAAGGAAGGCCGAGGAGTGGAGGAGGAGGAGGGGGCGAAGGAGGCGACGGAGCAGAGAAGAGGAGGGAGAGGGAGAGGAGGCGAGCAGAGGGAGAGGGAGAGGAGAAGGGGGGAGAGGGGGGAGGCGGAGGGAGAGGGAAAGGGGGGAGAGGGGGAGGCGGAGGGCACAAGCAAGGAGAGAGGAAAGGGAGACAAGAGTGGAAGGGAAGATGGCGGGGTGACAATAGCAGGAGTGAGAAGAGAGGAGAGACGAAGATTAAGAGGGAGAAGAGAGGGGAGACAAGAGCAGGAGGGAGAAGGAGAAGAGACCAACCCGGAGGGAGGGGATGGACCTCTCAACGACCTCCCTCCCCCGGTGTCTATAAGATCACAGGAGGGAAGGGGGAAAGGGGGGAAAGGGAGAGGGACAAGAGGAGGAAGGAGAGATGGAAAGGGAGAGGGGCAAGAGGAGGAAGGGAGAGAAAGGGAAGGGGCAAGGGGAGAGAAGGGAGGGGACAAGAGGAGAAGGGAGAGATGGGAGGGCAAGAGAGAGGAGAGAAAAGGGGGGGCAAGAGGAGGAAGGAGAAGGGCGTTCCTTCGCAGGCGGATCGCTGTGGATGGGACTCGACTTTTGCGAGGACTTTGCGGATACAGTGCGGATCTTTGGGGGGGGGGGCTTGTTATTTTTCCATTAATGTCGAATTAATGTTTTTTTCTGTTGTTAGTTTTTAGTGATTATTTTCAACTGGCGATTCTGTTGTTTTTGTTGTTGTTGTTTTGGTTAAATGTTTCTTCCTTATCTTTCTTTCTCTTGGTTCTTTTTGTTCTCCGTTTTGTTTTGATTCCTTATTTTCCTCCGTCTTTTCTCTTTTTTTGCATTTCCATTCACGAAGTTTAATCCTTCCATTCTGTATTTATCGCCGTTTTTATTTCCTCTAATCCTGTTGTCTCTCGATATACATTTTTCCCTCTCACTCTCTCTCTCTCTCTCTCTCTCTTCTCATTTATATGCATATTATCCCCTTTGTTCTCACTCTTCTCATCTATGACTGTGTGTGTGTGAGTGCATGTGTATGTGTGTGTGTGTGTGTGTGTCTGTCTGTCTGTATCTTTCTGTGTGTTTGCTTATTCATATATGCATGTGTGTATGCATGTACGTATGTATACATGTACGTATGCATGTCCGTATACGAATTATGTACGTGTGTTCATTGGGCCGCGTGTCCGAGGCCGCCGTGGAGAAAGCGATTAGGCCGGAGTGAGGTGGGAATCCAGGGAGGGAAAGGGAAATGGGAAGCAGAGGGGGAGGAGAGGAGGAGAGGAGGGAGGAGGAGGAGGAGGAGGGAGGGAGGAGGAGGAAGGGGAGGGAGGAGGGAGGAGGAAGGGGAGGAGGAGGGAGGGAGGGAGGGGGAGGAGGAGGAGGGGAGGGAGGGAGGGGGAGGAGGAAGAGAGAGGAGGAGGAGAGGGGGGGGGGGGAGGAGGAGGAGAGGAGAGGAGGGGAGGAGGGAGGGAGGAGGAGGGGAGGGAGGAGGAGGAGGGAGGAGAGGGAGGAGGGAGGAAGGAGGGAGGGAAGGAAGAGGAGGAGCGGGGGAGGGGAGGAGGAGGAGGAGGGAGGAGGAGGGGGGAGCGGGGAGGAGGGAGGAGGAGGAGGAACGGGATAGTAATCAGGAGAGGGGAGCGGTGGGGAGGGGCGAAATAGGCAAGGAAATCGGATATTAGTCATTGCGAAAGGAAAAAGGGAGAGGTAGGTAAGGAAGGAATAAAAGTAATGGTAAAGGGATAGGAATATTATACAGAGGAAGGGAAGGGTAGGATGGAGAAGCGGATATAAATAGATAGAGAGGGATCCTAATCAAGGGTAGGGGAGGGGTGGGAGGTGAGGGAGGGGGAGTATTAGTAAGGGGAGAGGACACCTATTCAGGGGAAGGGAGGAGGGGTGCTAGGAAGGGAAGGGAGGGAAGGGGAAGGGAGAGAGTCGTATCCCACCCACCTCACCTCTCCTCTCCTCCCCTCTCCCTCCTCTCTCCTCTCTTCCTCTTTCGACCCCTCCCTCCCCTCCCCTCCCCATCCCCTCCCCTCCCTCCTTCCCTCACCCCCCCGACCTCGGATTATGCGCGCAAACTTTCCTAATATCTCCGCGATACGTCTTTCGTCTGGCTCTTCATCCCCCGCGGAAACCGGCGGATTCTTGCGAGAAGTTGCGGGCGGCTCGGGACGGCGCCGCGATGGGATAGGAAGGATGAGTTTTTTTTTTTTTTTTTTTTTTTTTTTGGGGTGGGGTGGGGGAGGGTTTGTTTTTTTTTTTTGAGGGGGTGGGGTGGTTTTTTTTTTTTTTTGAGGGGGTGGGGTGGAGGAGGGTGTTTTTTTTTTTTTTTTTTTTTTTTGAGTGGGGTGGGGTGTGGTGGGGTGGATTTTTTTTTTTTTTTTTTTTTTTGAGGGGGGGGTGGGGTGGAGGAGGGGTGTTTTTTTTGAGGGGGTGGGGTGGATTTTTTGGGGGGGGTGGAGGGGGGGTGTTTTATTATTATTATTATTATTATTATTTTTTTTTTTTTTTTTTTTTTTTTTTTTTTTTTTTTTTTTTTTTTTTTTTTTAGGTGTGGGGGTGGGGGGAGGAGGAGGGGGATGGGAAGACGGGAAGGTGGGCCTATTTGGGAAGATGATGATAATGATTGTTGATTTTTTTCTTTTCTTTTTAGAAGGGGGGGGGTGAGTGAGGGGTGGAGAGGAAGGCCTATGTAATGAAATCATGTTTGTAATTTTTTGTTCTTTTTTTGAGGGGGGGGAGGAGGAGGAGGAAGAGAGGAGAAGTGCATGTAATAAGATAAAGATATTGATATTTTCTTTAGTTTTGGAAAAGGGGGGAGGGGAGAAAACTTTATGCGATAAGGTAATGGTGGTAATATCTTCTCTATTTTGGGGGATGGGGGGGGGGGGGAGAAGGGTATATGTGATAATACAAGAAGATCTTTCCTTACGCCGGCGAAAGAGGGCGTGGAGGGGAAAGGTCAAGAGGTCAGACTTTGACCTAGGATTATTTTAGCCCGGCTGGGTTTTTAGCGAGGGACGTGCGTTTTCTTATTCTATATATATATTATATATATATATATATATATATATATATATATATATATATATATATATATATATAATATATATTTGTGTATGTATATGTATTCGTAATTTGTATATTGTGTGTGTAGTGTGTATGTGTGTATGTGTATGTGTATGTATATGTATATGTATATATGTATATATGTATATATGTATATATATATATATATATATATATATATATATATATATATATATATATTATATATATTATATATATATATATATATATTGCTATGTGCTGTCTAATATATTATTATATGTGTCTGTGTCTATTTTTTATGTTTATTATCCTCCAGACTGCCTTAAAAATTATGAATTGGATCTCATGTTCTTCCCAATTTTTTTTTTTCTTTCGTTTTTTTTTACGTTGAACAGCGAGCGAGCATACTTGTCGGGGCACCGCTGGAAAATAAGCACTGTGTCTTTGTTTGTCTTTTTATGTCTGTCTGTCAGCATATTCCGCAGTGACTTTTATTTGTCTCCTTCTTTCTCTATGTGTGTATGCATATATATTCGTATGTTTATTTATCCGCTTATTTGAAAGTTTATTTACATATTTATTGATTGATTTTTTTTCACCTTTGAGTCCTATAACAGAATAGTTCATGGCGCTTCATACAGCACCATTAACAAGCCTTAATTTCCCGCCTTTCTTAGTGTTTATAAAAAAAAATGGCGGGTGGAAGCGTTTGAAAGACCCTGTTAAAAGCTGCTGTGAAATATATCCACGGAAAGATATTGACGTATATATTTGCACGGAAGGGTTAGTTCCGTCGCGTATTTTTCGTTAAATAGTAACCGTTTTTTTAGGGGGGGCAAGGGTATATTTCATTTTTGATATTAGGGTTATAATTTTTACTAATATTTTTACCTTTGTTGTTATTGTTATTATTATTGTTGTTTTTGTTATTGTTATTATTACTAATACATTGGCGATGATAGTTATTATTATTATTACTGTTATTATTACAATAATTATTATTATCATTATCATTTTGATTATTAACATTGTCAAAGTTTTCTATTATCTTTATTACTGTCATTATTATCAATATCGTCATCATCATCACTATTACTAACATCATTACGATTTGGGACTCAAGATTCTACAAGCCCCCTTGCACTGTTTCTCTCATACGTCAACACATCATATTCTTATTTTCAACAGTTTTCTTGAGTTTATTTTAGAAACGGTAATTATTGTTTCTGCCAACTTGTCTCGTTTGTTGTGTATCGATTTCCACGCTGTTGCTGTTGAAGATCTTACCGATTTTGTGGGTCTCCTCTGGATCTGTGTTAATTTTGGAAGTGTCCCGGATGTTCGACGAGGATGAGTTTATTAAAGAAAATGGGAGTAGAAGAAAATGGGGAGTTGGTTTACAGGGAGGACTATATTCTTTCGAGAATGCCTATAAAGAACAGGGATAAATAGACCGAGAAGAATGTTTGTGTGTGTGTGGGAGTGAGAGAGAGAGAGAGAGAGAGAGAGAGAGAGAGAGAGAGAGAGAGAGAGAGAGAGAGAGAGAGAGAGAGAGAGAGAGAGAGAGAGAGAGAGAGAGAGAGGAGAGGAGAGAAGAGAGAGAGATGAGAGAGAGAGAGAGAGAGAGAGAGAGAAGAGAGAGAGAGAGAGAGAGAGAGAGAGAGAGAGAGAGAGAGAGAGAATTGACTAAGAATTACACATTTACTTGTCACACCGTGAAATCCATTACTTGAACCGCTACTCTATATTGCGGCCACATGTACCCGCCCCCCTAATGCCCCCTTCTCTTGCCCCCGCAGACTGCAGCTATACGTGCCACGAGCAGTGCCAGGACCTCGTAACCCTAGACTGCAAGGCTGACCTGACCCCGGACTCGAACACAAGCCATGAGGAGCTGTACGTGGAGAGCGCAGAGCACGAGCCGAGGAGAGGAGGACGAGGAGGAGGCGTGCGTGAGGGTGGAGGAGGTGAAGGTGGAGGTGGAGGAAGAGGAGGAAGGACAGGAGGAAAATGAGGAGGAGGAGGAGAAGGTGCAGGAAGAGCAGGAGGAGAAGCACGAGGAAGAGCAGCAGGAGAAGGAACTGAAGGATGAGCTTGTTCCTTTCAAGAAGTCGGAGGTTTGTCTCGCCCTTTCTCTACTACTGTTCGTGCACGGACACTGGCGGTCACACATACACATGTACATACACATGCGTACACACGGACACACACATGGGTACACACGCACACCACGTACACACGCACACACGTACACACGCACACACATGCGTACACACGCACACACATGCGTACACACGCACACACATGCGTACACACGCACACATACACTCACACCACACACACACACACACACACACACACACACACACACACACACACACACACACACACACACACACACACACACACACACACACACAACACAAACACACACACACACACACACACACACACACACACACACACACACACACACACACACACACACACACACACACACACACACACACACACACACACACACACACACACTCACTCACTCACTCACAAAATCAAATAATAATAAATAAAAAAATACACACTTTTCTTTTCATTTATTATTGCTACTGTAAAGAAGTAATTGCTCTTTGCTGCTTATCATTTCCACAACATTTATTACGCAAATATGCTCAGGCTGCCATAAAGGGCCATGCATCCCAAAACCTGTTTGCTGAAAATGCATCTCGCTAAATATGCATTAGCAAGCAACTAGTTTACCAAGTAGCGGGACTGGCACATTAATTAAATACGAAATCTTGTTTTATTTTGGAATTTCTCCGTTTCTTCAGTTGAGGTTCATTGTTCAGATTAGTATAATTAAATGTCATGCTTTTCCCGTCTTGTGTTTTATTATTATTACTATGGTTATCATCATTATCATAATTATTTTTACGATAATTGTTTTTATTATTGTTATTATCATTCATTTTATTTTATGGTGTATTATTTTATAGACTTACTTTTTCCATGCCTGATTGCACGTGAGTTAACTGTCTGTATCATATTTCAGGAAGTGTCAACCTTGCGAAAAACTGTGAGCAGTTTGCAGTCTCATTTAGTGGACGTTAACTGTCC